TCTACCCACTGCTGTGTCCCTCCAGGAAATGGCAGGTTGAGCGCTATCGGGCCGTCGGGGTCGTTGGTCCTGACATACTGGATCTGCTCGGTCAGCGACAGGTGCGACACTTCATGCCGACCGCTCGGCGCACTCGACGCCGCGCCCTGGCCTGTCACAGCCACTGCGGCCGGCGATGCCACGGCAGCGATGGCCTGGAGGGACTGGATGGCCTTCCCCTGGATCACGATGGTCTCGCTCTGGCTCGCCACCTGCCCCTGGACCTGCCCGATCATTGCCAGAATCTCCTACTGGGTCTCTAGCGTGCACGGGTGCGCTTTCTTCTGCCCCTCCCCCTCCTGATCCAGCGAGCGGCGCCCACGCCTCTCGGGAAGGTCGTCTATCTCCATGTGATCGTGCTTCTTCGTGGGCGGCCCCGGGTGATAGCCTCGGACTATCGGTGGCGTAAACCGTTCCTCCTCGGACTTCCTCGGCCTCGCCTCGCTGGGCTCGAGAATCCCTTTTGCCGAGCCGCGGGCCCGTCGAGCACTTGGGCGCGCTGCTGGAGGTCTGGCTAAGGCCTGGTGCACTTTGGACTCTCCTTTTATCGGCGGGGTGGACTCGTGGCTCAGCCTCAGCGCACACTCGCCGCACATGCGCCACTTCGCGTGGCCGTTGCCCAGCAACATCTCCAGGTTGAACGGGCGCCGGCAGGCCATCTGAGTCGAGGTGAGGATTCCCATCTTTCGGGGCCACTCCTGCGGAAAGAGACGGCCGCGCGCACTCATCCACAGCAAATTGATTCCCAGCATATCCTCGCGTGCCGCCGTGCGACTGACCGCCACTCCACATTGGAACTTCGCCTTCGCGATGTCCCCGGGCATTGGCTGGTCGGTCGCTACCCGCATCTGAGTTTCGTCCGCCTCGGATCCCACCCGATTATCCTGCTCCACGGTCGATGCAATGGTGGGCCTGGCGGTGTGCAGACCTGTTCGATCCGATGGCCACGGGGCAGTCGGGCTGCCTGGGGTCGGAGGTCCTGGCAGCGTGGTTTCCCAGCAGGTCGTCTAAAAGGTACGTGCTCGATGGAGTTGCGCATTCCTCTTGGGTATTGGGCTCAGAACCGGATGTGCCTGGCGTGTTTCGGCGCCGATCATATTTTCGAGCTCCGTCTGACGCTTTGACGAGATGGCCCCTGTCTTCCTGCATATTGTCCTCTCCTCCCCCCTCCCGTTCAAACCCCTGGCTCCTCGACACCGTCGCAACATAAGTACTGGCTGTCAAAATTTCTGATGGCGGGTCAGCAGTCGGGACCGCTGGTTCTCTGCCCCTGCCTTTGTTCGCGCTCTCTCTGAGCCCCATGGCCTGTCCTTCGCAGCTATCGCTCGACCCCCCTACTCCGCCAATCGCATCGAGTCGGGCCCCATCTTGAGAGAAAAGCGAAACGCCCCCGACTTCCCGTTCTACTTGACAGCAACGGCGGGCGGCCCCTCGAATTCCTCGGGAGGGCCCAAACGGTCGACATTCACAACCCGGTGCCCGCTCGGGAGCTTCTCGAGAGGGGTCTCGACCCCGAGGTGAGTGAACCGAACTCGGCCCTGCGGCAAATCAATGGCGGCTCCTCGCATTTCCTCCGCGCCCACCAGCATCAGTGCCGGGAGCTCCTGTCCTACGAGGTCTACCTGCATCGCTCCCCCACGGCCCTCCAGAGCCAGAGGCGCAATGATGCCTGAGATGACCGGGACGTGCCCCCCAACACCCCTCGCAAAGGCATTGCTACTCTTCGCTCTCTCAACCCGATATCCTAACTCACTCAATCTTTTTTCCAAGCGGGCCAACGACTCCGGGGCGACGAGACCCTGGGCCGCCGCCGTGTCCACGATGATCCGGCCGCCCACGGTAATCAGGAAGACTTCTGGCTGGGCCGATCCTGCCCCGGAGGGGCAGCGGAGGGCCTCCTCGTAGCGCCGGACCACGTCGCTGATCGTGGTCAGCACCAGTGCGGAGTCCTCGGCATGCGCCTCGTTGAGGAACGCGAGCCCGCTCACGGTCGACTGCTTGTTCTACGGGCAATCTCTCGACCAGCGCCCCTTCTTGCGACACTTCTTCCACCTGGTGACCTTCATCAACTGCTCGATGCTGAGGCGATCGCGTCCTGGGCGGGGCCGGCCGCTGCTGCCGCCTACACCGCGCTGATCTCCGCCTCCCGTCGCCCGGCGGTCTGGTCGAAAGCCTCCTGCCGGGCGAGGTGGAGGGGGATAGAACATCCTGTCTACTTCCACTTGTCTCTTCACTATCTTGTTCTCTTCCCATGTCTTCTCCCGCTCCTGACGGAGCTCTGCTAGAACGAGAGGTGCCCGATCCTCGTCGATGTCCGTCGGATCGATGCGCGAGAAAATATCCTTCTCCATGTCCGTGTACACCGACACCTCGGACGCTGCATCTCGGTCCTCATCGTATGACTGGCCCTCGTCTTCTCCCTCGTCCATGTACGTGCGTGCTGCATGGTTCGGTCCCGAAAGCATCTCCGTCTTGGACAGGTCGAGCTCTCGGATGGCGCTCTGGAGGTCCTCGTACTTGCCGGAGCCACGGGTAAGCACTCGTAACATATGCTTGCCACTGTCGTCTAGGTTCACCCCTTCTTCCATGAAGAGATGTATCCTCTTGTCTGGGAGCGGAAAGCCCGGTGCTCGAAACATATCGAACTGCTGCTCCATGCGTGCGGCGTACATGGAGAGCGTCTCTCCGGTCTTACGCTGGTAGCCGAAGAGACACTCCCGCGCCGCACGACGGTCCTCATCGTCTACTCTCTTGCCACTCATCACGTCCAGCCGTTCCAGGATCGTCGCGGGGCCGGTGTCCGAAAGCAATACTTCATCACTGATATCTTCCATCTTGCGCTGGAGCTCCACGTCCAGCACTTTCAACAATATATCCGACCTTTTTGTCGCTGCTACGTCCGTGGATGCCAGCCAGCGGCACACCTTTCTGCGCCATATGCGAAAGTCTGTCCAACCCATCCAGGGATCTGGATCCGAGTAGTCGGGTTTGGACCATGATCTCTCTTGCCAAGACCAGCCCGATGACTTCCAGTCGCAGCCCTTCCACTTGTTGTCGTCGTCTTCGCCCTTCTTCATCTCGTCGGTGTGGCTCTTGCCGTCCGTGCTGTGCCACCAGGACACGCGTGTATCTCCCCAGGAAGTACTGCGCTCCCCCGGCCTTGCTGGCCCCTGCACGGTCGGTTCCTGCCGGCCGCCCCATGGATCTTGTGCCGTCCATGGGTCGTCGCGAGCCTGCCGGCCCGCACCCTCTGCTCCAGGCGCCGCCGTCGCCGAGCCCTCGGCTCCAGGCGGGCGCCTGCTCGCTTCTGCTAGCTCCTGCAGCTGGTCCTTCAGCTCCTGGAACTGGCGACTGCTGCTCTCTGCTATCATCTTCGTGATTGTGGTCAACTGTTTCTCTGAGAAACCACTTGAACCGTCTCCGCCGGACTGACTGGCGGACATATCCCCTGTCTCCGATCTCGTTCCGACCAGCCTCAAAACACCATTGTTTCCTCGGTGGCTGCTCTGGCTGCTGTGCGAGGACATGCGGCCGCGCCAGCAGCTGAGCCCGTGGAAGACCACAGGCTCCGCTACCACTGACACGCCAACATCGGCAGCAACACCAAACAACAGTGTTTTGCAAAGGGCGATAGCAAGACAGAATGTGCAGAGGGTGCCCTAAAGCCAACATGATTACGGACATCATGTACATAACAACTAGCTTAAGCTCATGCAGGTGAATTCCACAGAGCCTTCAACCGGATAGCCAAAGGCGCCCGAAAAACCTCGATCCTCCAACTTCGGCAATCGGCCCGGGACTCTTCCGCAAAGAAAGCCCAACAATATCATCGGCCCCCTACCTCGTCAATGCCACCCCGATGCGTAACTACTCGGCAGACGGGGGCACTGATCGAGGCAGGGCGCTGGCGCTCTCCCGCCACCTTCCCTGCGCCACCCCGCGCCAAGGCGGCGCCACTCCTGTTCCAGTTCCTGGCCCCTGCACTCTGCCTACGCACCCGCCACGATAGAAGGCGCCCATCACCAGCGGCGCTGACCCTGCAGTGGGAGCCGCACATATAACTAGACAATAAGTTATGCGCCCGAAGCATAGTGTACGTATTCAGTTGAACGTCTCACGCTCGAGAACCTACCCCGAAGAACGTCCACTTCACTGTGAGCGGTGGCGGGTGCGAACACAGCCACATGGTCATGCCCCTTCTCCTTCCCCTACCCTCCTCTTCTCCTTACCTCCTCCTCTTTTCCCTCCTCTCCCTATTGGAGCCCTCCCCTCTCCTGGAGCCCGTCACGCCCTCCCTCCTCTTCCCTACCTTCCTCCTCCCCCTCCCGCTTGTAGGCACTGGCCTGCAGCCCCGGCCATCCTGCCTGCGACGAGGCATGAGGTTAGGGTGAGACGCGCGCGTGCGCGGCGCACTTTCTCCTCCATCCTCCTCGTCCTCGGCCTCGCCTCCTCCTCCATCCTCGGCGGGACGGCAGCGGCGGTGCTGTTGCAGACGAGTGATTGCGTGGCGCCCGTCCTGAGGGTTGCGCACCAAAGGAAATACGGGGATGCGTCACCTGCGGGGCCCTGGTGGCGTAGGCGGGGCAAGTCAATTTCTCCCTGGGTGCGTTTCCCGACTGGGCCTCTGGCCGAAAAAATACTCGAAAACAAAACCTCCCATTTGGACGACCGAAACGGGCACGGAAAAAATGCGCACGATGCCCAACAACAATGTGGTCCAAAACCGACAGCAGTCACTATTGGGTATGCGGCCTTCTGTCTCAAATGGGCAACGCTCGCGGAGACACCGACAGCGAGTCCTGTAAAAAACTAACAAGAAAGAGCTACTGTCGGTCTTCGTGCCCACTCTTTCCGCACCCACTTCGTTTGCACCCATCTCCGACTCCCTCCCTGCCGCCTCCCTGCCCCGCTTCCTGCCCCCAAAGCTGCCCCATCCTGCCCCCTCCGGCGCGGGCGGCGGCCCTCCTCGGCGCCAAGCGCGAGCCCCCCGACGGCGAGGCCCAGGCGGCAGCCCCGGCGCAGGCCAGCGCAGCCGCGGCCGCCGCCGCGCAGAGGGCCCGCGCCCCGCGGCCGCTCCGGGCGGACCACGCCATGGCGGCGCGAGGCGGGGGCCCCGCGGCGCCGCGCGCGGCGCCACGGCCCCATTCGGGCCTGCGAGGAGCGGATTGCCCGTGGCGTCAGATGCGAGGAGCCCTGAGATCGGGGCGTCGCAATCTTTGCACACTGGGCGCGTCGCTCGGTTTCGGGACCCCGGGACCGTTACGGGTCGATCTGGCTCGGCTCACCCAATCATCATGCATGGGGGGGGGCGGGACATGCCCCGTGTGCCAGCGCGTAGCGGTTGGACAGCCCAGAGCGCTTTCGCAGCAAGGCCGCTCGCAGGCTAGGGGCCAGCGAAATTCGATTCCTGAGGGGCCGGTCAGACACGAGAGAATTGACAACATTGCCCCACACCACATCAGGACCGGGCCTCCGAGGAGCGCATTACCCATGGCCCTTGCCGTCCCAAGGACAATTCGATGCTCGGTGCTCCATGTTTCGTGCTGACTCAGTGCGCCACGGGCCTGTCTCGGGCCCCAGGGGGCCGTCAGAGACTGGTCCGGGGCGAGAAACTGGCCAGGCGGCAGCCCGGGATTTCTGGGCTGATTTTCAGGAAGGGGGGGGAGGAGGCAGGAGAGAACAGGGAGGGGGGCGCAGGGAAGAGGGGCCGAGGGAGGGAAGCAGGGAAGGGGGCGGGCCTCCCATACACGAGGGGAGGAGGCAGCTCGAGGATCCTCGTTTGTGGAAGCCTTTTGCTCGACGCTTGGGCCTCTGGCAGCCTCCTGGGGCCTCAAGGCGCCCAAGGACCGCTCGGCACGGTGCTGCTTTGGCACCGCGAGGGGCACCAAAGAGAGACGGGGGGAGAGGATCGAACATCTGATTTCGGGGTTTTCCTCCGATTCCAGCCTGCGGGCATGTTTTTTTGGAGGTCCCAAAACGGTGCGATGACAGAGCATTCGGTCACCTGAAACCCGAAAAATCCTCAACGCACGGTCCGTCACCGCACAATTGCGGTACCCTGGAGGCCCCAATCCCCCGAAACATCTTCGGAGAACGACTAAACTTGGGACTTCCGAGTTTGAAACAAAGTCGCCAGAAATCGATACGTGATGAAAATTAGAAGCCTCCCAAGTGGGATCGGAAAAGATGGGGTCGAAGGATCGCGCTGCATCGCAGATACATCGGCGATGCATTGGTGACGCCAGAGCAGAGAAAATCAGGCTCCGCATGGATCCGCACCGGCGATGCATCGGCGATGCGGCGCGATCCTCCGACCCCATCTACTCCGACCCCATTTGGGCACCTTAGAAAAATGCGGCCCAAATGATAGACCGCGGCAAGTGTCCAGGTTTCCGTTTCGAGCGAGTTTGGGGTCGGAGGCGGTCTTGAAAAGAAGCGGAAGGAGCAGGAGGGAACAATCCGCAAAAGGCGCCCTCACACCACCACCCTGCCAGGGCTGGGCCAATCATGTCGGGGGCGTCTTGGGCAAAAAGAGCAAGCGGGAATAGATCAAGAATCGAAGTTCGAGGATCCAATTCCCATCAGTCATTTAGGACGTGGGTGATTCGGCGAATCTGTTCTTTCAACCCCCTTTTTCGCCTTCGAGAAGGGGCTCGTCATTCCTCCTGGTTGGTCTTCCCCCCTCGCCGTCTCTACTGGCCACTAACCAGGGCCAACGCCGAACCCCACTCGCACGATCCCTATCCTAAAGATCCACTTTGCGACACAATCTGGACCATGCTCGGGCGCCCCACGATCACTTTACACTTTTTGCTGGCAGGGGCTGCGGGGGTGCCAGCATGTTGCCTGGCACGCGCAGGCCCACCATCCCGACCAAGAGCGCTCAAAGAGGTGATGTTGAGGACTCCTGCGGGAAGGGCGCTGATTTGCGCCGCCTCCTTTCGTTTCAACGGCCTCTAACATGGCCGCAAGGGGGGCCCCAAGAGGGCCCCACGAAAGCTCCAAGAGGGCCAAGATAAATCCGCAAAGGCTTCCAAAATAGCCCCGAGGGGGCCCAAGTAAGCTGCCAAAGGGCTCCACGTCGAAATATATGCGAAAGAACTGACGGTTGACTCATGAGAGAGAGATAGAGAGAGAGAGAGAGAGAAAAAGAAATAGAAAGAGACAAAGAGAGGGAGAGAGAGAGAGAGAGAGAAAGAGAGAGAGAGAGAGAGAGACGCGCTCTGCCGGCCGGCCGTCCCGGAGCGGCGCGCGCGGCGGGGCCTCAGCCCCGACGTCCCCGAAATTATCACAAATGGCCGCCTTCTTAACTCTCGTAAAACAGAACTCGCAAATAGTCACCTACTCGATGCTCGCCAAAAAAATGCCACGCTCTTGACACAACCATATTCTTTATTCTCGCACGCGAAATGAATGTTAAAATCCGAACAAATCCCACTGCGCTTCATTGCGCAGCTTCACTGTTCGTGTCACGCCAACCCATCGCCTCCTAGGCTCGCGTGGTCTCCTGGTGTTTTCAGACGGGCTCCACAAAAATACTCGACATGCCCACGATGAGTCGCCGACTTCCATTCTATCTAGCCACCAGCTGGCTGCTTCTTCGCACGCAGCAATCCAATCGCGGACGTTCAGCTTCTGGGCTTTCTCTTCGGCCTCCCTGGTGGCGCGCCAGATCCAGACCACCCGCGGCTCCAAAACAGTTTCTTCTTCATCATCATTGTGCGGCACCATGTCGCTGTTGCGGGCTGACGACGTGTCCGAATCCATTCTCTGGCTGGTGATCCTCCACTTCGCCCCAACAATCATGCGGAGCATCTCCCTCTGCACGCGTTGTAAGTTGTTCGCTAAGTTGTTCGCCAATTCTTCGCTCGTCACCCATGCTTCGCAAACGCGCAGAAGAGTCGCCGACGCTGCCCCGTCAAACAACCGCACTCGCGACGACAAAGAATATGTTCGATTCGTCAACTCGCCCTGGAAGCACATGAACCGCTTTCATGCAGCATTAATGATGTGGTATATCCCTGCGCTGCGCGGGTGCTCGAAACAAATCACCTGGCCAAGATGCATCGCAGCCCCATCGCGCGGCGCCACTTCGATGCTCATATCTTCAACTTATACGCGACGGCGCTTCGGGCGCCCAGTCTCTCGGGCTGCGTCACTGATGACCTTGATTTACCAGGGTGAAGTTCAAGACCTCGCTAGGGCGCCGCGCGCCGAACGTCCGCATGCATTCCCCCTACCTCCCCAAGCATTGTTCCAATCTGCAAAACATCGCCAGCGAATCGCAGGTTGGTCAGCGCCCATTCGGCCGTTGCGCCCAGTTGAACGCCCCAGCTCTTCTTAGTCCACTGCGGCTTCGCATCTCTAACCATGTCTTCCAAAAGCTGGGTTGGGATCGCCTTGCTCTGTGCCCCATCAGACAACATTTTGATGTAGCCACCCGGCACCCCCTGCTTAGCAGGCACGCCATATGCTGCCGTGTTCCACCGAGCCGAAAGCCTGTTGGAATTCTATTGAGGCAGCCCAGAGGTTCTGTTGTCACTCGTGGCATTTCTCCTGCAGCAGCGCGATGGCGAACGCGCGGTGCACTGTGGGCTCGCCTCTTCGGAAGCCAGCTTGATCCACCGCCTGCGACGCATCCAGGATCGGATATAGCCGAGCATGCAACAATTTGGCGGGCACTTTGTGCAGCAGCGAGATGATTGTGATGGGCCTACAACTCTTGGCTACCGAATGGTCTCCACTCGCGTAGATCACGCTGGTAACGGGCTCCGCCCATGCATGTGGCGGCGGTCTTGCTTGTGCAACAAATGTGTTACAACTATAACAATAACGTCTCTGCAGACCGCCATCCGCGCATGATCATTTCCGCGAGCGCGCTTCAAAAAATCGCAGCACTTGCCTTCACATAGTACACCAATGCTGGCCCGCAGCTCGCCAAGGGCGAACTCGGGAATTGGGTGCGTCGCTGTCTCGTGGCCCGACAGGCCCCCCGCGCCATCTGAATGCGAGGAGTGCAACATAGCGTGAAGTCAGCGAACGCATCGGCGATCGACTGCGCATCGTCTTGCAAATGGCCAGCGTCGTCCTTCACGTGAGCAATTAAACTCTTTCCCATGATCGTTTTGATTCTCGCGATCTGCTTCAACCCTCTGAACGGGCTCAAAATAGCACGCCGTTGTTCTCTGGTGCCCCGCGCCATGCGCTCACTGATCGCCGCTCGGTCTGCGGAGCCGGAGTGTCTCATGTGCTTCCTCTGATCAATGAGCCACCGCAGCTTGGCCTCGTCTTCTCGATGCGCATCGCCATCCCGGTCCGCGTTAGCAAGTGCCGCAGATTCAATGAACACGTCCTCTATATGCTTGCGTGCCTCGCCGGGGTCAGGAGACAGCGGCGCGTTGCATGCCCTGGCGTGGGCGTGCCTCGCATGTGCCTCCTTGCAAACACGAGACCAATCAGTCGCCGTTCTCTTCGCGGATTCGAATTGTTTCCCCTTGTGAGGACTGCGATCACCAAAACGAATATTCACCCGCGCTGCTATGCGGTCGCTTCCCGTGTTCAAGGAAAGATCGGCGCACGCATCCAGTACTCGTGGAAGTTTACGCGGGTCCAATAATAAGTAAGCAATGTGTCGTTCCAGTCCGCTTTGTTCCCGTATGCGTCTATTTGCACTGCGGTCGTTGCGGGGGAAATGCGTTGGCGACGATCAGGTGCTCCGTGCAAGCCCAACTTTTCAACCGCTGCCCACGCGAAGTTGTCTGCTGAGTTCCATGAGCACCAACAACTCCGCGCGCGTCGCCATCATGCCGGCTGCGCACCTCACCGTTGAAATCGCCCGCCAGAAAAAAAGAAGAAGCAACAAAACAAACAATCGCTTGGATATTGCGCCCCTGCGCGCTTCAGACAAAGCATCATGAAGCTGCTGAGCGCGACAGTCTCCGCGCCCCAAATGGGAAAACATGCAGTTGACAACCTTCTTTTGAATGTGTTGCAGAATGCATCGATGTACCAAGCTCTTTCAGATATGCGGCTGGAAGAGGAAGCGTGCTTCGCCCTTTTGCTGGTGATCAAAAACGCAACTCCTCTAGTTTCTTCTGTCCAGCCGTATCCAGCAAAAGCGTGACCTCTAGGTACAATGAAATAGTCGACCTCTTCTTGGCGCGATGTCTCACTAATTCAAACAAGGTTCCACTGACTTGCAGACAGCTCCTGGAGCAGTCCCGCGGCCCTGTCTTCGGAGACAAG